CCCAGAACCCTGGGGTGTGAGGCCGACGCCGCGGGCAGCAGGGCAGGCTGCACCCTCTGGCTGCCATAGGTGCCTTCCGAGGGCTGCTCCTTATCCCTTGTAGCTCCCAGGCTCCAGGTGGAGGCTGGGTACCAGGTGTGGTGTGCTCACAGCAGGTTCTGGTCTACACAGGACAGGATGCCCCTCCTAGAGAGGTGAGAGCACCCCAGGGCACCATCTTCCCCAGGGGCTTCTGAGGAGGCCTGGGTGCCAGACAAGGGGAGAGGCTGCAGCTTCAGAGCAGGATGTTTCCTTTGGGGTTGTGTGGTAAGTCAGGCACACCCTAAATCCTGCAGCTCAGAACTGAATGTGACCGTACTCCTACCCTTAGCTTCAGTTTTGAGGTGCTTTAGTGTATTATTGGGCATATGGAGCGAGGACTCGAGGGGGTTGTGAAAGATGAGGGGGTACTGCCTTTGCAGTAGCGTGAGGCTTACTTGTGAAGACTAAAATGCATTGTCAAGGCTGTTCTTAGCTCTTAACTAAGCCTCTTTACTAAATCCTACCATGCAGATCTGTGCAAAACGTTGGATTGTAAATCTAGCATGAAGCTGGGTTTAGCTGGCTTTAATTTGGTTTTATTGGTACACTTCTTTAATGATACTTCCCATACACCTCCCACCTGAGCTCACCTTCCTGAGGTGAGCTAATCTTCCCCTATGAACCACAAGTGCTCAGCGAGCTGCTCAGCTCCCGGGAAGGAGGGGAGCTGGGGGCAGGGTCCCTGCTCAGGGGGAGGGGCTGGCACTGCTCCGGAGCTGCCTGTGGGCCAGTGCCCGGCCTGGCGGAGCCGCGGCGCTCGTGGTGCCCCTGCTCTGACCCTGCCCCGTGACCCCTCGGGGGCTGCCCGTGGACGACGCCAACACGGAGGATTGGTGACGTGCCTTTTGTTTTCAGACAGCAATAGTTTGGAGTGTTCAGTCAAACAGCTGTAGTCACATCTGGACTGCTGCCAGTGCTGTTCCTGAGGATTCCTTCATACTCCCTGTAGAGCTGTTGCTTCATCTTCCTCCTTACTAACGTTTTCCTGTTTCCTTCAGCTTCAGACCATAGCAGCGTCCAAAAAAGCAGAATAAGACTTATTTGGCAAGACTGTTCCCCTTTCACACCCTCTTACTCTGTAAGATGTTTTTTACTGTAGATACTGTAACAGATCTTAAATATGCAAAGCCAATTGCTGTAGTAATTGGTTCTGGTCCTGGAATTTCACTGTGCTTAGAATGCAAAGATGTTTCTTGCACTTGCAGGCCAGAAGCAGTTGATTTGTTGATACACATTGTATCTGTGTTTTTGTTATGTTTTTTAAATACGTCCATCTTGTGGTTAACCCAAGGTTGAGTGGCAAACAATGCAGGGGGAGTGGAATAGGGCTGTTGTGAGAACCCTCCTCAGAATGGTGTTGTCCATCACTGCTCTTCCCTCTGACTGTCCAGGGAGTGACCTACCCAGACTGGCACCATGTGCCGTGAAAACCACAGGGGCACAGAAACCTGTATGCCTGGTTAATTATGATACATTACAGATTAGTAATGTTTCATATTAGTAAGCAAAATGCTTCTTAATTTTAAGTAACCTTTTGTGAATTACAGGAAAAATGGTTTTTAATGTTACTGTCCAGCAACTTGCTGCTTGATGTTGTTTTTAATTAGTACTACTCTCGACTCAGCCATTGTGTCATTAACACGATGGTTTTGTTTTTATGGTGGAATGCTGATATATGCTCCTTCTCTTGCAATCAGAAGATTAACATTTTATACCAACAAGCTGACATTTTACTGCACTTTCTGTATCATTATGCAGTATAGAGTTTATGTACTAAAGGGAGGCAGCCGTGTTAAAGCCATGGCAAAGTATGAACTTGTGTTATCTAAATAAACTGCTGAGTTGATTTGGTCTCTGGTGGCTTTTTGGAAGACCCCTCAACATTTTGACTGGCTTTCCAGCCAAGTCAGAGAAATTGTCCTTCCTCTCTGGGGTTTGTCTGACAATTTGAGATCTCCAGAGGTGCTCTGGTGCCTAGATATCCACAAGGCTGTTCATGGATAGTCTGACACCTCAAAAACCAAAACCCTCCACTGCCTGCGAATGGCTGTTGCAGGTGATAGCCCGGCCCACGGTTGCTGTTTGGCATTGCTGGAGTCTCTCACTGCACAGGGATGCCCTGGGAGTTGGGGCATGATGAGGCAGCAGTGTGAGAACCACAGCATTGTTGGATGTCTCAGGTGCTAAAGAACAGCATGCTCCTAATTATTTTGGAATAAATGGGGCAGGTTCTGCTGCAGTTTTAATGGGCAGCTCCACAGGACAGCCTCGAAATAAATACATCTTATCTGGTCCCAGCACAGTCGTGTCTGATGTGTGGCAATATGTGAATTGAAACATGTCAAGGCTTTGCTCTAGAGCTTGGTTAGGAACGAGGAAGGAAATGCAGTAGGAATATCAATAATCACACTTGTGTATAAGAACTGTCCCCTCCCAGCTGCTCCAGCGCAGTGCCGCAGGTTCTTATCTGACTTGTTAAATAACTTTATGGTCTTTATGCAAACTTGTGCTCTTCATACAGGGCAATGACTTTCTGCTTAATCAAAAGCAAGGAGAGCAGGTGCTCCTGGAGATAGCACTTTGTTTCAAACAACAAATCTGAAACCTCACAGTCTGAAAGGTCATTTATTGGCTGTGGGAGAGGAACCCTCCCGAGGACGTCATCTGAAGTGATGGCAAGCTCACGTGGCTGCGTGCGTGCGTGGTGCCTGGGAGGTGCAGTCGTGTGTCAGGGGTTGGGTCAGACCTCCCAACAGGGTGAAGACACCTCTGCTCTTTGTAGTGGGGTCTGCAGTTGAAAAACGCTGTGGGATTAAAAGGCTCATCTTCCTGTGAAATAGTAGATAATTAGAGCTTTGCAGGATCTGTAGATGGGGGAATGTTTATTTTTACTTCTATCAAAGCTGATACAACTAGAGGTATCAGAGCAGAAGCCCAGAGGTTCAGTACCATGACCAGGAAGGGAAGAGCTGTTGGGGAGTTAGATTGGTTCTGATGGTAATGACCCTTTTCTCGTGCAGTGACGGTCCTGAGGGCACATGAAGTGATCTGGAACGGTCAGTCTGTAGCACATACCGCCATGGCACCAGCAAACCCAGCTGAAATCCAGCTGCTTTCTCAGAATTCTCCCACTCTCTCACCAGGGCTCTGTGCGAGTGACCCTGCAGCACCCTGTGTTTGGGTGTCCATGCTGCTGTCCCGCGTGCCCGGCGGCGCTGTGGGTCCCTTCACCACGGCGCCCAGGAGCTCGGGAGGTGGGGACAAGGCTGATCAGAGCTGTCACTGCTGCAGGTTTCGCTCTGCACCGAGTCAGGGGAGCTGCCCCCCTGCAGCCGCCGCGCTCGGGCCGGCTCTCGCTGTGCTCTTGTGGAATTTTGAGGCTGCATCCTGTGGGTTACCGCTTCCTCGGGGTGCATGGTGGGGGCACCCCCCAGCTCCTCTGCCTTGCGCTTCTTATCCCTCTGAAATAGGTTAGAACTTCTTGCCAGCTCGCTGTTCTGTTAAGTTAAGGAGGTCACACGCAGGCACCCTGCTGAAGTTTCCTGTGCTCGGTGGGGTGGGCCCATCTTCACCCCGCTGGCCTCGTGCTGTTGGTGAGCCCTGGTGCTGAGCCCTGGTGCTGAGCCCTGCCGGCAGCTGGCTCCTCTCTGAGCAGCTTCCCCTACCCCGAGAGGCTGAGAAAGCGCTGCTGCTCTCTTGGAAAGGGGGGAGCTCCCAGGCTGAGCTGGACAGCGGGGTGCAGAAGGCTCCTAAAAGTGTCAGGGAAATCCATGGGAAAGAGAAGGAGAATGGCCGAGATGACCCAAGGCTGCTGCTGCTGGGAGCTGGCTGAATGGCTGTGAGCCTGGTGAGCCCACCCTCTGCTAGCTCTTGCCTCCCAACACAGGTGTGCATCCCCCACCCTCCAGCAGCGCTCACGGCCTCCCGCTCATCCCCTGCATTGAGTCCTGCTGGAGCCAGGTCCCTGCTCAGCATGAGGAGGTTGAGGATGATGAGCTGCAGCCGCTCCAGAGGTGCAGGGCAGGACCAAGGAGAGTCCTGGGGCAGTGAAAACTGGTGTGGAGGTGGGAAGGCTGAGTGAGGGCACTTGGAAAGAGAAATGAGGGGGTCCACCAGGGTGTTTTGGGGATCGAGAAGAACAGTGTCCTCTTTGCCTTCCTGGCTGTGCTAGAAATAGGTCTAGACTAGGTGGAGAAGGCAATTAAATAGCATCAGAGGAGAAGCATTGCTCCCACTGCTGCATGAACGGCTGAGCAGGCAGGGGAAGAGCCCTCCTTCAGAACTCAGTGCTGCAGCAGAGCACTTTAAAATCAACGCTCAGAAGAGGGAAACAAGAACAAGGAAGCTGTGTGGTGGCAGAGGTCAGGGTAGAGGCTGCTGTGTTCTTGTTTCTCCTTCCCCTGTGCAGGGCAGTGTGGCAGGAAGGGTGCTGGCTGCTGGGCACACCCCCGGCTCCCAGCCCGGGGGCTCAGGCTCCAGGGGTCACAGATCCAGCTGCTCTCCGGGGTCCTGCCCCTCTCCCCAGTGCCCTGCTCACTGAACTGCTTGAACCCACCCACCTCCCTCCCGGTGGGGATTTCCAGGATGTGACTAGCTCAACTCTAGCATTCTAAGGCATTTCCAGAAGCAGGAATCTGACCCAGGGCTCCTGTACAGGCCGTGGGAAAGGGGCTGCTACGTGATGGGAGCACACGTGTGTGTGGCAGCACGTGGGCGTGCGGCGATGCCACCGGCTGGCACAGGCCGCCTTACGAGGAAGCAGGTTCAGCATCAACCCGCTGCTGTCACCCGGCTCTGGGGCTGCAGGGCTGTTTCTCTCCCTGGAGGCTGGAAGAGGAAGAGGCGTCCCAAGCACGGCAGCTCTGCACGGCGTCT